CACCATGTTACTAGACGTTTCCCTCATCCTATACGAAAACAACAATTAGCAACATCCTCACATACTACTGTAAGTTGATTCAATTTAAATTCATTTTACACTTTTGTTGCTACTGTTATCATTGTAATTGCAGCTCCTGATGATGATGGCAAAGTCCATTGAAAGCTAGAGAGAATTAAAAAAATATAAAGAGTCCTCTTTGCTTAAATTTTGTCGAAGTACCCAACAAAAAGCGGAAGCTTTAATTTTTCACCTAACTGGTTTAGACGACAATGACCACGTCTCAAGTTATATATATATATATATACATAGCCAATCTACTTGACGGAATTTTGAACATGGCAACACGTAAATTTGTTTTGAGCCGCATTATGCAAATGACCTTATCAAAATATTATCCCAAACGGTCGTAAATATACTTCCCGGACTATGAGACGTAACCATAGCTAGAATAACTTTTTGGACCGTACTATAAAAGTAACAATAGAGTTGCGACTACCGTCAATCTGAATAAAACATTCGGAAAACCAAAAGTTAACAGGAAAATACACCGGACGACGATCAACAGGTGTCGAATTAGAGGAACTTGCAGCGACAGTTGAAAAAGTTGTTGGTTATTTAAAGAGCGGCCGACCTGTAGAGAAATAAAACGGTGTCGATCACTTCGGACAAAGTCGTTTTATATTACCGCGGGTTTTATGCGATTTTATCACCAGGTTTATTTACAACTACGAACAAAGCAAGCGTTAACTGACTGATATCGTTATCTTTGTTTATCTCTGAACAATCTAAAAGTATGATCGAGGATTCAGCGATTTTCTTTCCAGGTGTTTGGTTGAACTTGAAGTTTGTTGACAAGGATTAGGTGCTATTGTTCGGCAAACTTGAACTTTTTGAAGCATAACTTAAAAATAGCAGTAAACATATTACCTTGTGCTTTATTTCCTAGAAGTTCTGAAGCTTGACCTTCAAGATCGCGTTAGAGGTCAAATTGAGGGATTCTAGTAACGACTTTGGAAATAGAAATTTTACCAAAAATTTTAACAATATTGGACTTAATTCAAGGCGATTCATAAGATCGTAATAAGATTTCAAAAAATATATCTTCTCCTGACTTTCACTGTACAAGTTAATATTAACACCGACTGACCTTGATACTTTTCTAATATTTTCAACATGAATCAAACGACTTTGGAATTTTACATGAATCTTGAACCAAGCTTTTTAAACCATAAAAATAGCAGTAAACATATTACTATACTATAAAAGTTCTAACGCTTGCCCTTCAGCATCGCGTTAGAGGTCAAATTGGGAGATCCTATGCTCTTAATTTGGGAAACGGAATGAGAGAAATTTTGTCAATGATTTTGACAAGATTCCAACGTTGAAGTTTTACTTCATGAGTGATTCTATTATGAGGCAATTTAAAAGATCGTAATAAGATTTCAAAGAATACATCTTCCCCCGATTCTTATTGTCCACTGACCTTGATACTTTTCTGATGACTGCAGGGACCTTTTCGTGTTTAGAATCAAACGTTGATGTTTACGTTGGCGACCTCCAAATTTCAAGGTCAACGAGCGGGTCGTGTTCAAGGTCACTCTTTTCGGATCCTTCAGAATTTGTATATAAATGATTACTCAGTAAATTGTCAACCTTGAACGTTTCTATTTACTTACGTATTTTTATTTTAAGATTTCAAGGTCGAACTTTTATTTCATGGTTGTTTTAATTACGAGGACTGAATTCAAGTAATTTGGAAGTCGATTTATACGATGGTAATAAGACTGACCTTGGTACTTCTCTGGGGACTCATCCTAAATCTTCTCAAGATCTTGAGATGCACGGCCTTGACATTTTACGTGAACCTTGAAGAAAATCCGATAATATTGCAGTACCCGGTAATCAAACGTTGAAATTTTCTTGCAACCTCCAAATGTCCTTCAAGGCCAATAAACGGGTCGTGTTCAAGGTCACGCTTTTCGAATGCTCCATAATTTGAAAAGGGTCACCTTGAATGGGTCCAAGATCATTTGAAGGTCAAGACCATTTTAACAAAGCAAGCGTTAACTGACTGATATCGTTATCTTTGTTTATCCTTGAATAATCTAAAATTATGATCGAGGATTCAGCGATTCTCTTTCCAGGTGTTTGGTTGAACTTGAAGTTTGTTGACAAGGATTAGGTGTTATTGTTCGGCAAACTTGAACTTTTTGAAGCATAACTTAAAAATAGCAGTAAACATATTACCTTGTGCTTTATTTCCTAGAAGTTCTGAAGCTTGACCTTCAAGATCGCGTTAGAGGTCAAATTGAGGGATTCTAGTAACGACTTTGGAAATAGAAATTTTACCAAAAATTTTAACAATATTGGACTTAATTCAAGGCGATTCATAAGATCGTAATAAGATTTCAAAAAAATATATCTTCCCCTGACTTTCACTGTACAAGTTAATATTAACACCGACTGACCTTGATACTTTTCTAATATTTTCAACATGAATCAAACGACTTTGGAATTTTACATGAATCTTGAACCAAGCTTTTTAAACCATAAAAATAGCAGTAAACATATTACTATACTATAAAAGTTCTAACGCTTGCCCTTCAGCATCGCGTTAGAGGTCAAATTGACAGATCCTATGCTCTTAATTTGGGAAATGGAATGAGAGAAATGTTGTCAATGATTTTGACAAGATTCCAACTTTGAAGTTTTACTTCATGATTGATTCTATTATGAGGCAATTTAAAAGATCGTAATAAGATTTCAAAGAATGCATCTTCCCCCGATTCTTATTGTCCAAGGTAATATTATTGCCGACTGACCTTGATACTTTTCTGATGACTGCAGGGACCTTTTCGTGTTTAGAATCAAACGTTGATGTTACGTTGGCGACCTCCAAATATCAAGGTCAACGAGCGAGTCATGTTCAAGGTCACTCTTTTCGGATCCTTCAGAATTTGTATATAAATGATTACTCAGTAAATTGTCAACCTTGAGCGTTTCTATTTACTTATTTTTAGTTGAAGATTTCAAGGTCGAACTTTTATTTCATGGTTGTTTCAATTACAAGGACTGAATTCAAGTAATTTGGAAGTCGATTTATACGATCGTAATAAGACTGACCTTGGTACTTCTCTGGGGACTCATCCTAATTCTTCTCAAGATCTTGAGATGCGCGGCATTGACATTTTACATGAACCTTGAAGAAAATCCGATAATATTGCAGTACCCGGCAATCTTTAAAATCAAACGTTGAAATTTTCTTGCAACCTCCAAATGTCCTTCAAGGTCGTGTTCAAGGTCACGCTTTTCGAATGCTCCATAATTTGAAAAGGGTCACCTTGAATGGGTCCAAGATCATTTGAAGGTCAAGACCATTTCCACAAAGCAAGCGTTAATTGACTGATATCGTTATCTTTGTTTATCTTTGAATAATCTAAAATTATGATCGAGGATTCAGCGATTCTCTTTCCAGGTGTTTGGTTGAACTTGAAGTTTGTTGACAAGGATTAAATGTTATTGTTCGGTAAACTTGAACTTTTTGAAGCATAACTTAAAAATAGCAGTAAACATATTACCTTGTGCTTTATTTCCTAGAAGTTATAAAGCTTGACCTTCAAGATCGCGTTAGAGGTCAAATTGAGGGATTCTAGTAACGACTTTGGAAATAGAAATTTTACCAAAAATTTTAACAATATTGGACTTAATTCAAGGCGATTCATAAGATCGTAATAAGATTTCAAAAAAATATATCTTCTCCTGACTTTCACTGTACAAGTTAATATTAACACCGACTGACCTTGATACTTTTCTAATATTTTCAGCATGAATCAAACGACTTTGTTATTTTACATGAATCTTGAACCAAGCTTTTAAAACCATAAAAATAGCAGTAAACATATTACTATACTATAAAAGTTCTAACGCTTGCCCTTCAGCATCGCGTTAGAGGTCAAATTGAGAGATCCTATGCTCTTAATTTGGGAAATGGAATGAGAGAAATTTTGTCAAATGATTTTGACAAGATTCCAACGTTGAAGTTTTACTTCATGATTGATTCTATTATTAGGCAATTTAAAAGATCGTAATAAGATTTCAAAGAATACATCTTCCCACGATTCTTATTGTCCAAGGTAATATTATTGCCGACTGACCTTGATACTTTTCTGATGACTGCAGGGACCTTTTCGGGTTTAGAATCAAACGTTGATGTTTCGTTGGCGACCTCCAAATTTCAAGGTCAACGAGCGGGTTATGTTCAAGGTCACGCTTTTCGGATCCTTCAGAATTTGTATATAAATGATTACTCAGTAAATTGTCAACCTTGAGCGTTTCTATTTACTTACGTATTTTTTATTTTAAGATTTCAAGGTCGAACTTTTATTTCATGGTTGTTTTGTTTATACGATCGTAATAAGACTGACCTTGGTATTTCCCTGGGGACTCATCCTAAGTCTTCTCAAGATCTTGAGATGAACGGCCTTGACACTTTACATCAACCTCGAAGGAAATCCGATAATATTACAGTACCCGTTTATCTTTAAAATCAAACGTTGATATTTTCTCGCAACCTCCAAATGTCCTTCAAGGTCAATAAACAGGTCGTGTTCAAGGTCACGCTTTTCGAATCCTTCATAATTTGTGTCAAAACATTTTTAAAAATACGTTCCCTAGAGAAAATTTTTTGTAGAGGTTGAAGCGTTTGAACAGGGTCACCTTGAATGGGTCCAAGATTATTTGAAGGTCAAGACCGTTTTCTTAAATGGGAATCCCTATTTTTGATACTAGTAAAGTAAAGTGCGGGAAGTTTTACGTTCTTTCTTCTCCATGACCTTGACTATGACCTTCAGGGTCATTTTAGGGCGCCCAAAACGTATGGAGAGAACAAAATATCTCCAAATATGTGCTACAAAGATAGAAAAATGCTAGTTGCAAATTTTAAAAACGTTCGACCTTGAATGTTTCCATTTGCTTATCTATTTTTTATTTTGTTCTAGATCTCTTCGACATGAAGCCCCCGCCGACGGCCGAGAGCCCGGTGGACGACACCGACGACATCTTCGGCCCTCCTCGGACTTACCCGACCGGGTACAGTCCCCCGAAATCGAGGCCGCCTATGATCTCGCCCAAATACAGGCAGAAAGAAGAACGGCGAAAGGTGCTGAAGATCAGCATCAACAAACTGAAGAAGATCGACGATCCTGAGGTCAGTTTGTGCAGATCGGTGCTCATCAACAATACCATGAAGAAATTGCAGAAGGAGGCTAGGGAAGAGAAGGTAGGCGTTATATTTTTTTATTCACATTGATGCAATTTCAGTGCCGCAAATATTTGTGCAAAGTTTTTCGTTGCTGTTCGGACGCCTTTTTCACACCATTGTTTTTTTTTCAGGTACAGAAGCAACAACTTAACTACCCCCAATGTTACGACAATGACGCCGATTACATCAGGCGGAGCGACAAAATGCTGGGATTCGACGAACCCGATGACAGCGTGTTCGATTCCAAACTGGATGTAAGCGATGCTTCTACCAAGGAGGTTAGTAGAATTATTTTAAAACGACGTAGGCTATGGTTTTGTGGGTCTACTAGACACTCGTTAAAGTAAGTGTGGTTAACCTAAAAAAAGTTTCCAGCAAGTGGCCTTGATGGTGACCTAGGATATGGGAATATCACTGAAGGACGTTTCAAGGTCACTTCGATAGAAGCATCAACTTTTGTTGTTGGACACGAATGGTCCTTGGTTTATTATAGGATTTAATATTTAACAAAAGCTTAGATGAAATTTACGAAGACTGATTCTATGGATTTCCTTTGGACGCGAAAGCTTCAAGTATTGATTCAACATAATCGATTTCCAACTTCCCTAAAATTTTCAACTGAAAAGCTTGTTGGAAACTTTTTTGATTAGTTCGATGATGACCTTGAATTCGGCATTGCACATCAAAGGGCATCTCAAGGTCAGGCCTTCTACTGTTGAAGGTCTTTCCAAGGTTAAACGCAAAAGATTGGTCCTCGGACAAGTGCATCTATATCCATCTAATACATTTTCCTTGTTCGCAGGTGCTGAGCCTTGTAGAAGAGAATCTAGACCAGCTGAGTAGCAGTAGTCAAGACGCCTTCCAACCAAGTAGCAGTGTCGCCATCGTGCAGAGTGACCAGCTACAGACCAAATCACGTTCCTTTGATGATGTTGACGTCCAGGATGTCTTATCGCAGTTCTACATGCCTCCCACGCCAAGGTAGGTTGAAAAAAATAGTCGTTTTTTTTATAAGTAGGTTCAAACGATAGTCAATATATGCATTTTAATATCAGTATGAATATTTCGAAAACTACTCATCCTTCTAAACAAAAGTTGTAGGGTTTCCAGGGGAAAAATTAACGGTGACCTCGACCGTGACCTCTATCACGACCTTCAAGGTCAAGCGAATATTTTTACATGGAACCGCCTTTTTTCGCGCCGAAATTGGACAGAGACAATTTTAAGTCCGACTATGACCTTGATAATGATACCGTCAAGGTCGTTTCAAGCTCAAGTAAAGAAGTTGAAAACAATTTACTGTAACAAAAATGTTGTGACAGCACAACTCTTAGGTTCGCTGCGTCACCCAATGGTGACCTTGACCATAACCTTTGCCAAGGCCAAGTCAAAACGTTCAAAGGTGTCCCCAAAGTCAAGGTCGTGACAAAATTGAATGTTATTTGTAATTCAACCCATTCATTCTTATGCCAAAATTACAGAGAGCAAGGCATTTTATATATAAACGTGTAACATTTTGAAATGACCTTGAATGCGATTGTCAAGGTCATTGCTAAGACCACCTTTCAGTGACACAACTTACGACTCTGCTTTTGGACATTTTTGCTAGAGTAAATTGTTCTCATTGTCTTTGATCTCGAAATCGCCGTTTTTCACGCCGAAATTGGAAAGAAGAGAATTCTACGTCCGACTGTGACCTTGATAATGATCGTTAGCATGACCCGTTCAAGGTCACTTCAAGCTCAAGTAAAGACATAGAAAACAATTAACTATAACAAAAATGTCCGACAGCAAAGTTACGAAGTGTGAGGCGTCACCCAAAGGTGACCTTGGTCCAAGGTGAAGTCAACGTTTTCAAGTCAAGATCGTGTCAATATTGAATGGTATTTGTAATTCAACCCCAAAACTGCAGAGAGCAAGACATTTTATATTTAAACGCGTAAAATTTTGACATGACCTTGAATGTGATTGTCAAGGTCATGGTGAAAGTCACGTTTGAGTGACAAAACTCGCAACTCTACTGTCGAACATTTGTGCTTGAGCAGATTGTTTCCAATGCAGTTGACCTTGAAATGGCCTTGAAGGTCAAGGTGAAGGTCATAGTCAAGCTTACACTTGGTCGCTAAATTTCCTCCTCTTTCGAATTCCCGTATGAAAAAGGGGGAATTCCATTTAAAATATTCGCTTGACCTTGACATGACATGCAAGGTCGACGTCAAGGTCATCTTCGTTGTGCCCCTGGAAACCTACATGTTTTGTTTGAATTTTTGTTTGGAAGTTGTTTGGTTCTCGAAATACTTAGGTGGGGGAGATTAAATTATATGTACACCAAGTGCCATCTATTACCAGAATCGGCCACTGAGAAAGTGGAAACATCAAACTGACTGTATTTATTGACGAATACCTATTATCATTTTCACTTCTTATGATTAAAATATTCCGTTCTTTCCAGATTGCTAACATGCATCGACGACGATGAAGACGTGAACGTGGTGGACGACCAGCCTCCGTCGAAGCGACCGAAGCTCGACGAGGACGTTTCGCTCAGCAGCTGTGATAGATCTCCCTTGCCAGACTTCGTCTCGTTCCCGTCGGATAACAGCAGACTCAGTTGCGGTCACGCGTCCATGTTCGGCGAGATCCAGAGCAACGTGTACCACAGTTTGATCGCGTCCCTGGAGACGTAGCATAGTGAGGCGGTGTGGAGCTTCAACGAGGGCCAAGCCGTGCCTCATACAGGTTTGCACGCCGGCTCGTAACGGTTTGCCGGACTTGATGTAAATAGTAACTTTAAGCTGTTATCGTGATTTTTGGAACTGGAATCTGGATATTTTTTGAGGACTGTGGAGCATCAACATGCTCGGTTCTACATATGCATCGGATTGAAATATCGGTTATTTATTTTTATTTACAGTCTACAGGGTGTTCGAAAAATAGACGGAGATATTTTAAAAAAATATTAAAAGTTTCCATAAACATGGGTGCGGGAATGCAGAGTTTTTAATTGAAAAAAAAATGATTTTTTGTTTTTCAAGGCAAAAATTAACAAACCAACTTTGTCCAGTAACATGCAATAAAACGGTTTTTATTTTTTTTTCTCGAAAACGAAATGGCAAAGAAGTTGTATTTTTAGATACTTAATCAAACAACAAATATAAAAGTTTCAAAAAATTAAATTTTAAAGAAGTTTAGATTGTAGGGGCGTATATTTTTTTGGCAATAATATTCGCTAAGGTGCCCCCCGGGACGCCACTGGACCTAAGAATTTTAGTCTATTTAGAGCTAAATTAGCCTCTTAATACAACAAATAATATTGCCAAATTTCAACAGAATCGAATAAATATTTTTTAAGATATAAATAAAAAAAATTTTTATTTAAATTCATCACCCTGTATATTGAAAACTATGCATTTCCGGACCCATGTGTATACGAACTTTTTTCATATTTTTTAATGATGATCACCCTGTATATTGGTACAGAAAGTCAAGTTCAACTTTATTTCACACTTCTATACAGGGTGTGCCAATATTTTACGGACATAGAAGTACCACGCAGATTTTCATATATTTTTGAATCAGATATTCCGATTTGAATGAAATTTTTGACCCTTTACAAAAAAAAACGAATGGGGTCGAGAATAACAAATTATAGCAGAATTTTTTTTTTCGAAAATAAAATGTTTTCAGGACCTGGCTTTAATTCAAAATTTATAAAAAAACAAACGTTACTCATCAATTTAAACTTTATTTAACTTGTCAAAAATAATCTGACACTGACAAAACATCCCATATTTACGCCATCTAGATGCCTAATAGATTTTAACACTTGATGTTATAAGAACAATTTTCAGAAAAACAATTTTTTTTCGAAAATTAAGCGTTTTTATACGAGATAAAAATGAAGTAAATAAAACTTATTTTCAGTCTAAAAATACGTGATACTGCCATGTCCATGGACTATTGGGATACCCTGTATAATTACGAGTATTAATTAATTATAAAATGGAAAAAAAACCGGAAAATCTTTATCCTTTATCAACAAAACAACACACATCAAATTGGGAAACCCAGTTTTAACATTTTAATCTGGAATTTCCAATAAATATGATCTGTTCGTAAAGCACAATAAACTTGAAATTGATTGGACAAGAAATCATCACAAATATTACATACTCAGTAATTATATAACATCATCGCTACAAATTTAATATGGCGTCATAAAAACAATTAACGTAAATTGTTGCACCAAGGACACTATACGTATGATAACATGGATTTTTCTATATCAGTCCACCTTTCACGAAATCTATTTAAAACTAGAGAGCATTGTTTATATTGAAATTATATCTCAGTCCGGTAGCAAATATCTGGTTTCCAAGGCAAAACGTCGCGATGGTGTATCAATAAAGTGATGTACATTATTATCGTACTTACCGGTAGATTGTTGAGTAATGCAGCGTGGATCTGAGAAATGAAATAGATCACAAAAAAAATGCAGTCATGATATATTTATATTTCTACAAAAAAAATTTTATACCTTCGCCTGAACGTGACCGTTTTCAAGTTATAAGCGTTTTATTTATTGTCTGAAAAACTAAAAAAAATCTTCGGAGTTCTGTAGGGGAGCTTTGAGTCCTAATGACACTTGCCAACTTCAAAAATGATTGAAAATGTCCATTCTTAGGGTTTTTCAAACATTGAATCGCTTAACTTGAAAACGTTCAAAAAGTTGCCGAGTTCGTTTTTTGTTCAAAATGATCCAAAAAAACCTAAAAGCAAAGCATTGCAACTACCATCGTTACACTATTACGTTTTTTTTTTAGGTTTGTAAATATATTATGACCGTTTTTTTTGAAAATATACTCATCATACATGCCAATTCCAAAATGTAAAAATGTTCATATAAAAACGTAATATCGAATAAGACATAAAACAATTGTAACATATTTTGCGACGATCAACCGCCAGTTTTGCAATATTTAATGATTATCTGAAATTATCGTACGTGTATAAGATAGCGACGATTTTATATTCCAATATCGACATAGATAAAGTGTCCATTCTAGGCTATTTTGCATCAAAGAGCTGTGATAAATATGCGGGGCTCACTGCTTGTGTCACAAATTAAGAGAAAATGTTATGTGAATCACCGCAAATAATAAAATGATCGAGGGTGGTATTTGTTTTTTATCGTTATCAGTCGACGAATTCAAATCGATAAGGAGATAAGTCTGTGTCGTTCATTCAACTACCTTCACAATTCTTTAAAAATTATGCTAGAAAAAACATTTCTTAAAATCGTCGAACATTCGCACTTTTAAAGAATAACACTAAAAATGTGAATTGAACGACAGAACTGTCAAAAAATAAACTTATATCAAGTAATATGAAAAAAATCTTTTGGGCAAGAGTTCAAAACTCTGATAATATAAGGGCCAATTTCAACATCATTAATATTTGACTTGGGCCAATGGGAAAATACCTTATCGAAATTAAATTTGACGGAAGCTGTCAACGGTCTCTGAATATCAGTGATTTCTATTAAAATATTGAATAAAATCGTGAAAATTCGACTGTGTTATAAACAAGACCACTTTTTGATTCCAATATGATGCTTTTGTACAGAGAAAACAGGACAACTTTCATGTATTTTGATTTCTCTTATAAATTTACATTTAACAACCCGTTATCCCCAAAGCCAATGGGAATGCGGCACATAATAGGTCGATTTTATAGCTGTTAAATTTAATAGCAGGCTTGGACGTTTGTTAATGCATGGCAATCTCGAATCTGTTAAGTTCAATATACTGAGTGTTTATATGTTATCATTATAGCTACATACTGTTCAATAGTACGGATTTGTCTGTATTTTGCAAGAAAATAAATACATTCCAACCAATTCCTCATCTTCCTTTACATCATAATAGTAATCATTTATTAATTTATGGGTTAGTCAATTTCTTCAAAGCAATAAAAACATTATGTCATCTCCGCGATGCATAATGCAATTACTGCGGAAAAATTTCTCACAAATACTCCAAAAATCATAAAAAATAATGTTTCTTGTTTGATTGCCTTTTTAACTTTCGGGAATATCTATCTGTCACCCGCAGGGTTGCCATGTCTAACGATGATCACGTCCCGTGGTGTCACTTCATATTTTACAGTGTTGCCAAAAATTCGACGGAGAGATCTTGGGGATTTAACGGACCGTTTGGTACTCGTACCCTATTGGTGCGGAATAATGATTTGTTAAATTGTGAAATACACCCTAAATCTTTGACAGTACGAGCACGTGGAAAATTCACATAAGTTTTCTCTTATATTACAGATTCCTCCGTAATGACATAATTATGTTTCCCCCCGTATATTGAGTACATTGTAGCCAAGGTTGTTTGAGATCAGCTCAAATGCATACTAATCACGAATGGATGGTATTGTGACGTCACATAAAGTTAACAAGAAGAGACTAATTGCAAAATAACAACTTTTACTTCGTAGTGATTTTGTGCTTTCAATTTTTAAACCTAAGAAAATCAAAAAATGACAGCCTAGCTTTCCGCAATATTTTTGTATTCATCTCCGGTAATTGTGAAGCAATACAATAAAAGATTAGATTTTCTCCCAATAATCCCATATATCTCTCCGAGTTCGATACCCAGGTGTTGAAAAACTGTGCTTTTGGGCAAAAAGAAATAGAGCGCTTTATATTTTTTCGTGTTCTTCATCCATGTATCCAAACCCAAACAAAAATATTGCGCTTTATGCGATAGTTTTGTATTTTCAAGTCAACACTGATAAAAACATCTATAATGAAAATCATCTTTTTTTATACGAAAGGCTAATATAGTATTCCAAAAACCATGTAATTTGTAATAATTGCAGTTCATATCAAAGAAAAAGGATGTAAACAACTGCTTATCTTTTCATTGACCGTGTGATAACCTGAATAAAAAAAATCAATAACACCTCACGGCGTATACGAGGGCGGTTCGATAGTACTTAGTAGAAAAACTAAAATTTTGGGAAAGTGGCGATTTATTTATTCTTTAACTCGTCTGAAAAATACGGTGTCTGTAGGGCGATAAACGTTTTCAAGTTTGGAAACAAAAAGAGGTCGAGCGTACTTATCGGACAGCCCGCGTATATTTGGCATTCTCTTGTTAACTTTTTCGTGGACGCAGAATATTGTAAATAATTTTTACGTAATAAAAGCGATTGAATCTGTGATAAGAACAATTGTGTTAAAACTTACCTCTAGTATAATTTATAATATCCTTACAGCATAAAATATCGATTGCTTTTTAGAGATTAAGATCCATAATGATAAGATGCTTTTGTGAATGGTGGCTTACGAGTTTTCAAGGCGACTTGCAGTAGATGCATATACGTATTTTTTGTACAAACAAAGTATGAACAAATGGATTTTGTAAAAGATTGAATGAACATTGATTTGTATTATATATTTTTACGTATGACTTTTTAAATTTATTATTTTTTAGCTATTGGTTATTCTTTAATTGTTGTACAGTTGACAGTCTAAAATATTTATACGTATTTGATTGTTTATATTTTCCTCCGCTCTACCATACAAAATCTGTCATTAATTGAAGAAATCAATCGGAAATTTTGAAATGTCGAATGTTTTCTAGAGGCAAAGAAATTCATAATAAATCGTAGACATTTGAAGCTTTGAAAACCCGCATGATTTTTTTTTGTTCTCTACCTCTAAAAAACACCCGACATATAGAAAAAATATTCCTTTGAAACAGTAATTTCTTCTCACTTTCTGTATAAACGTTATCGGCATTTACTTGATCAATTTATTTGTGTCTGCTAATGATTATAAACATTATCATTGCGTTCTCTACGAGAGTATAATATTATGAGTTTAAATTATGTTTTTTTTATTGATACCAAATAAACGTTACCTAACATATTTCACCATTTCATTACTGTTATATTGTTTTATTTGTATTATTATGATTCTGGTATGTGTGTACATTTAGGCGTTGCCCTGCTATTGGTAATGCAATAAAGTACCTGAAAAAATATCTGGCTTTTATTTTAAACACCTTTCCTTTTAAAATAGTACAGGGCATATTAACAAAGAACAATGATTTGAAATAAACTAATGAAAAAATACTATCTGAGATGTTAGTTGTAGAGGGAGATTTGAAAATCAATCTAGACACTAAGGGCCGTATTGACCTAGATTTTTATAGTTTTTCCTGTCCTTCAAAAAGGCAGCGGTATTTCTAGATTTCTACTGTTCCGTGTCTGCGCTCTGTTTTGAGGTTATGTTACAGATATCTATTAGCATCAAACTGTTCACGCTTTTATTTTTATCATTTGTTGATTAGCGTTAAATCTGCTACAATTTAAAAACGAAACATAACCTCACAACAGGATAGCGCTGACGCTGACATGGAACAGTAGAAATCTAGAAATACCCCAGCCTTTCTGAAGGAGGGAAAAGACTATGAGAATCAAAGGCCATAAAGGCGTCCTACAATCGTTTTCAACCGGGTTACTGACACATAACCGGTTTATTCAACTTCAATTTTCTGTTTTCAGAATCTCGATATGACCATTTCTTCCTGAGGAATCGGATTTTTAACGATAAAGAATCCTTTTGGCTTTGATCATCGATATCTCGGGAAACAATCATCGTACAGAAAATCTAACGGTGGTTTTAAAAGCTGGAGTGGATTCTCTAAAAATATCAACGTCCATTTATTGAAAGAGAAACAAGGATGTTCCTTTTTGTTTTTTGAAAACCAAGGTCCAAAGTGCAAATATTCACAATACTGCTGATGTCGAGCGTGACTTTTATAGCTGCAAAAACTGTAAAATTTTAATTTGATATCTCCAGGAAGTTTTTTTTGTTTTGTCTTGAACGGTCAAAATTTCGAAAAAGTCCATCGCTGCTAAAATCACTATAATTGAAATCATCATTTTTATTGAGATACATCGATTCAATCAGTAAAAATTTACATTTTTAATTTGATCCATTATATTTTCCGTTGTCTGTTGTTTATAATTTTATTTCAGAAATATTCATCTAGATGCGACCGCGTATAGAGTCCGCAATAGTGCCTTTTCTGATTTCTGGTGCTAAAATGCAGCCGCATTTGTCTTCTCGGTGGCAGAGGCTCAGAAAATTTGATGGCAGTCAGTGTCGGCAGGTCGCCGAAGTGTCTTCTCTGAGCCCTCATCCAGTCGTTTTCTGGTTTCAAAAGTATGGTTGTGTTTGGTTCATAGTGTAGGCGGTGCGCTGAAAACGGAAATTATCGAAAGATCAGTCTAAAGCCGCGTACAGACCGAGATTCCAACGCAAGCCGAGACACGGAGTACGACGTTGCCAGTTGTATGAGGGATTTTGTTTGTCTGTTTTTCTTCGGAAAATTGTATTTAATATTAATATTAATTGATTAATAAATAGATGTATTGTTACATTTTACGCTATTAGGCATATGAAGTTAAATTATTAAGGTGCAAAATTAATTTATTTCATGACTAGAAAGAAATAAGTTCAGCATTTTTTTGCTCCGTAACGGTTGATTTCCGGCATAGGTTATACTGAACTTTTCTGCTTAGGATAATGCAAAGAATCACCTCTTAAAGTTACGAATATTATTTCCCTGACATCGTGTACGGAATATTATCTCATCTTGAAAAATTTGTTACAGAATCACTAACCCTGTGGCTTTGTGGCTTGTCTGACCTCAGGTGGAGGGTTGACATTGGAAAACATTGCTAATTATTCTCTTGCTCTTGAAGGTATTTTATTGGTCTTACAAACCAAAGTATGTCAATAACGCCTAAAAAAATGACTTAAATTTGATTGACAGGAAAACAGGCGCGAAATTTGATTGACACGTGAGGAAAGGGAAGGAGTGTTGGTTGCCTACTTTCAGGAGCTAGTCGCGCTTATTGTGAAGTAATTAAGAAGGGAAATTATAAACAGCAGTTTATAGATAAAGAATGCACATTTATTTTCAGTTTTCAAACAAGAAACAATGAGATCTCTCCGTCTTTCCACTTTCGTCATTTTTTTCTGGAATTAAGAAGCCTGAAGATAATGACACTGTTGCCTCCTGGATCCACGCCTACAGGAAAATATAAGATTACAAATCTGTCTGTCATCCGGAATACTTCAGCATTTTTTGATACCCAGCAGCCCTTATGCGATGTCGAAAGCAATAAGTTTCAATCTAAAAAGCAGGAAACATATAGCGATCGGTTAGTTTTCTTATGACCTGTTGTCAATCATATCTAGTTTTGTTGCATCACCTTTAGGTCAAATTTGTCGTGTTCCAATCTACGTTTGACAACTTTGACCCTCAATCACACACCCGCTTCCCGCCTAGCGAGAACAAAATTGGACATCGCCGCCAATAAACAAGATCAACAGATTTAGGCAAAACTCAAAGTTTTCTTTTACTAGCTCGGATTTCGAAATATGATTTGGTTTTCTGAATAACTGTTTGCTCTTCATCCAATTAAAAATCTAAGATAATGACAGTTGTGGTTCACCTCCGTGAGTCTTACAGAAAATCGCAGAAATTTGCAAAAATCCTTTCGTCTCAAATCTTAAAAAGTATCTAAAATTCCTGTGCTAATAAACTCCATTCCACCGCTTCTGGTACACAACCTTAGGCAGCCAGTAATGCGCCGCGGCGTATGAACGGTTATCCACTTTCTGCACGCCTCAACGTTCAATGACAGCTTCGTGGTCCACTCTTATCAGCCAATCGGATGTGATGTGGTGTTCCAATCAGAGTTCGCCAACTAACCATATGTTACGTTCGTTCCGTGGTGGCAGTTTTGACAACTCACGTAAAAATATAATCGTTTTTGAAGAATTCAGCTGAAATACTGACTGGAGCGGAAAAAATACAAAAGGTAATTATAATTCTGAACGTCTCGAGAATATCTGTAAGTATGATCATAGCTTATACGTATAAAAGCGTGGCGAATTTTACGAAAGTACAAACCTAACCTCTACGATTCTTTTCAAGTGCGGTGTCTTATTAATTTTATATGTAATTACGCTGTAGTGCCGCTGCTAACTCTGTGTAATATTTATTCCGTGTTGCTTCCTTTTTTGCCTGTAAGCCCAAATTGTATTCACGGGTTTTTTCAAGTTTTTTTCGTCGTTTTGGAACTTACTAGAATTTCAGATTTTCAGCGAGTTTGTAGCATTATATGCACGGATTTAGCCTTAGTAAGCGCTTAAAATGTGTCTATATTATTTGTGTAATTTGAAAAACCATGTGGAACATAACTTTTTGCCTTAAGTGGATCTCTTAGGCACTGTTCAAACCAAAAGGAAGCTTCAAATCGATTTCGTATTTCGGTTATGCTGGTCTCGTTTTGAGATTGTGATTAAAACCACTGTCTGACCTACTAATAAAAATAATTAAAATACACCCTCAGGCTATCAATTGAACTAAAAAATGTTGTGGTGTCTCATCAGAGATCTCAGTGAATGGGTCTCGTATACCATGGAAACACTCTGTCTGGTATCTTGGATTCAGCATTGACAAGAGGTTGACCTGGCAGAAACACACTTATACTTTGGAAATAAAATCCCAAAGTACTTTTCAGCAGCTTTCTCCTAGTTATGTAGTGACTCACAATTTTCTAGATTCAGTGATATAAAATTGTCATTGGACCCGTAACCACGTAGGCATGTGAGGATTGACACACAAGCCCATGATATGTGATAAATGAGACCATACCTAGTAATCATTTTACATCAACAATTTCTTCTCGACTTTAGTCAGATGGATTTGTTAAAGGTCACCCATTAAAGCAATTAAAAATTCAATTATAAACTTCCAGTTAGAAATTACATGCACTGCAAGTTTTGCTTAAAATATACAGTGAAATCTCCTTTGGATGGACACCAACGGGACTCACTGTAAGTGTCCATTCAAGACGGGTGTCCCTATTATATTAAAGAATCTGGGACATTTAAAACATACATGTATATACATCTTTTTAAAATAATTAGAAAACTTCAAACTTAAGGAGAAAAAGGTTTGTTGCTTTTAGATATTATACAAAGTATGTATATGTAAGTAACAAAACAATGAAACAAAAAGTCACTTTAAGGACGCAAACATTCATATATTGTCGTTTGTCTCCTCTTTTTGTGTGAAATGGCGTCTTGAAATCGTATTTATGATATAGAAACAAGCTCCAAAGGCTCTGAATCTGCCTGATTTTCAACAAGACTTTTGAGCTTCTTGGTCAGGGTAATAACTTTACCATTGGAATAGCTTCTGTTGATACTGGTACCTCATAAACATCAGAATCTTTACGCCAGTTAGCCTTCCTCTACCATCTATCCACACACAACACCATTGTATTCAAATATGACTTAGATACTTTTTTTTTTAATTCTAACTCTTCGAACTGGTTAATAAGAACACCGTTACTGTCTCCTTTCAGAGCAGCATGAAGCTCGCAGTATTAGCAGTTTCAACGTTACTATTTTACATTGGATTACCTCACGTCGCATCTCTAGCTGTGATGTCGGTGGACCTAGGGTCAGAATGGATGAAAGTAGGCATAGTTTCTCCAGGTGTTCCCATGGAAATCGCGCTGAATGTAGAATCGAAACGTAAATCCCCCGCCGTGATAAGTTTCAGAGACAACACCAGGCTATTCGGCGAAGACGCAGCTGCAGTGGGTGTGAAGTATCCAAATAAATCATTCGCTTACCTCTTGGATCTATTAGGCAAAAGTATAGACCACCCGCTCGTCAAACTGTATCAAAAGAGGTTCCCCTACTATGAAATAGTGCCTGATAAGGAACGTGATACGATACGATTTAAGCTAGACGAAGATACCTACTTCAGCCCCGAGGAATTGGTAGCGCAAATTTTAGTAAAAGCCAAGCAATTTGCTGAGCATGGCGCTCAACAGCCGATCAAAGAATGTGTTTTGACAGTACCCGGATACTTCAACCAAATCGAACGCAAAGCTCTGCTACAAGCAGGAGAGTTGGCAGGTTTGAAAGTTCTGCAACTCATCAACGATTATACAGCTGTCGCGTTGAACTATGGCATATTCAGGTCGAAAACGTTCAACGAAACCACCCAATACGTGATGTTCTACGATATGGGCGCTTACTCAACATCGGCTGTCTTGATCGGCTACCAAACGGTCAAGACGAAAGAAAGGGGATACCCGGAAACGCACCCGCAAGCCACTGTCTTAGGCGTCGGCTTTGACCGAACCTTGGGAGGACTCGAGATTCAGCTCAGACTCAGAGACTACCTCGGCAAAAAATTCAACGAAATGAAGAAAACGAAGACGGACGTTTTCACCAGCCCCAGAGCGATGGCAAAACTGTTCAAAGAAGCCGGAAGGCTCAAGAACGTACTATCCGCCAATGCAGAGCACATCGCTCAAGTAGAAGGTCTCCTAGACGATAAGGACTTCAAACTGCTAGTGAAAAGAGAAGAAATGGAGGAAATGTGCAAGGATCTATTCGAAAGAGTGAAAGGTCCGGTGCAGACAGCGTTGAAAACGGCGCATCTGACCATGGACATCGTCAGCCAAGTGGTGTTGGTAGGCGCGGGTACGAGAGTGCCAAAGGTGCAAGAAGTGCTGCAGAAGTACGTCAAGCAGGACCTGGCGAAGAACTTGAACACCGATGAGGCAGCGACGATGGGAGCTGTGTACAGAGCTGCGGAGCTCAGCACTGGGTTCAAGGTCGCCAAGTTTATCACCAAGGACGCCGTTATATATCCCGTGCAGGTAATCATTCAAGTGATATACAAGTATATTATGATAGTGGACATAGTTATTTGTCGTAACTAGCTAGGAGAAAGTCTTTGGGAATTCGTCAAACATGTTACTCTTTTAAGTTTAAAACTCAAGCTTTCGATGGTGAATGCCATCATCATCAGGAGCTAAAAACAAATTTATATTTGCTATTTTCTATTTTAGCTCCTGTTGATGATGGGATAGACCATCGAAAGCTTGAGTTTTAAAGTTAAAAGAATACACTTTGCAAAACAAATTTGTCGAGTTCCATAGACATATCAAGGATATATTATGTTGTGCAGGGTATTCGAAAAATTGACGGAGATATTTCAGATTGTAATTCCTTGTTAAAAAAGTTTCTATAAACATAGGCCCCGAAATGCAGTTTTCAAAATTCAGGATGATAAAAAAAACATTTTTTTCAAATTTTTATAGAAATTTCGCAAATAAAATTACGCGAATAATTCTTTTCTAGAAGAACTGACGCGCAAATGTCAAAATAAAAAAACTGACAATTTTATATACAGGGTGTTTCAGTTTATTGTTGCATAACTTTAAGATTCGATAGAACTTTTAAAATTGATGCATAAAGTCTATATATAAACATGGGTCGAAAAATGCGTGGCTTCCGAAATACAGGGTGTTTAAATTTACTTTCTAAAATAGTATTTTTTAAATATTTCGAACAATATTTGATGTATAACAGTGAAAATTGGTATACAAGGGTTTTTTGGTACGACAAAACGAACCATGGGCATAGTTTTACTGTAGCCGCTAGAGGGCGCTCTCTACTGTACCTGTAGTGTATTAAAATGACCGACAATTTTTTCTTAGCGCAATTTTTTGCTTTTTGAATAAAAAAACTGATTCTTCGCACCTTTCAACATAAAAAAGCTCTCTTGTGAATTTTCGTTATAGTTAACCGTTTTTGAGATATTTCGATTTTTAAGGTTCGATGCATTTTTAAGTATTTATGGGAAAATAATATTTTTTTTTTACATTTTCGATTTGGGCATTACAAGTAATTAAGATGATCGTTTAGATTGTATTTTTAAACACAGCAATAATTCATCACTCCAAATAAACATAAAAAAACAGAATATTAATTTGTTTAATTTTCCAATATTATTTTTAACAAATTAAGTAAATATAAACACCCTGTATTTCGGAAGCCACGCATTTTTCGACCCATGTTTATATAGACTTTATGCATTAGTTTTAAAGGTTCTATCGAATCTTAAAGTTATGCAACAACAAACTGAAACACCGTGTATAGGACATACATCCGTTATATTTTTATAATCATGATATTTTCGAACCTAGCATTTGAGATATCTGTCTTTATAGTTTGTAGCATTGAAACGCCTATCGACATTGTTATTTCTTTCAAGGTGACATTCGAGAGGCCCACCGAAGAAGGCAGTGTCAAGCAAGTGAAACGAACCCTGTTCAGCCTGATGAATCCTTACCCGTCAAAGAAGATAATCACCTTCAACAAGTATACCAGTGACTTCAATTTCAATGTCAACTATGCTGAGCTCGACTACTTGCCACCAAATGAGGTATACGCTTTTTCTTTCATGTCCACTTCACAAAAAAATCGACGGCTATATTAGGTTTTACTTTTCGCTGTCGAAGATCATAGATTTAAAAATCAATAGTAACAATTTTTTTTATATACAGAGGAAGCAGCGCAATCTGCCCATACGAGCAGTAAGCATTTTTTTATCTATGTAATACTAAATTAATTGTTTACGTTTTCACTTAAAATTATCGTGGTTGTTCGCATTTTTGGTATCAAATTTTTTAGAACAGGTGAAAAAATGTACACTGAATTTTCTCATACAAAATACTGCGTGAGACTATGCTTGATTTTGTACAAAATTTATTTTACTAAATTCAGCTCAAAATTAAGACGCAAATAGCTGAGATTTAGAAGTTGGTATCATTATATTTATATTCGTATAGGTTCGTTATTTGGGATCCGCTCGCTTGTCGGAGTTCCAGCTGAGCGGCGTTTCCGAAGCGTTGAACAAAAACAGTGGCAAGAACGCGGAACCTAAAGGAATCAAGGCTCACTTCCAAATGAACGAGTCCGGTCTATTGAATTTGCTGAACGTCGAGTTGATTGTGGAAAAGACGATTTTGCCCGAGGATGAAACGGGGACGTTGTCTAAAATAGGTAAATATAAATTAAAAAATCCTCGGCATCGACATAGTTGAAATATCTGTTTTAGGTAGCACCTTCAGCAAACTTTTCGGCGGCGAAGAAAAACCCGTGGAAGAGAAACCAACGCCTGAAACGGCTGAAGAAAAACCGGTTGAAGAAAAAGCCCAAGAACAGCCGGCTGAAGAAAAGGAAGACAAACCGAAACAAGACCAAGTGAAAAATGAGACTCAGAAGAACGAAACCGAAACCGCAAAGGAGACAAAACCGAAAGTAGGCACGTTTAAGGAGCCGATCAAATCCACGGAGCATATATTGACTATCCTGCCTTTGGATAAGAAACAGATGGCCGAGGCTTCGGAAAAGATCGAAAAATTGAACAAACTTGAGGCGGATATCAAGAGAAGAGAAACAGCGATGAATACCTTGGAGAGTTTCGTGATTGATATCCAGAATAAGCTGGATGAGGAGGATTATAAAATAGCTGCCAAGCCAGAGGAAGTGTCGAAAATCAAAGAGGCTTGTACTGAGGTAGCGAACTGGCTTTACGAAGATGGAGTTGATGCTGATACGGAAACGTACGAAAAGAAACTCGACGAGCTGCACGCCCTGACTAGGGACCTGTTTTCGAGAGTCTGGGAACACAGGTTAGTCTTTGGTGTTTTACATTTTTTTACTGCAGAAATCGTCTTTACGCGGGTTTTTAGGTTGATCAAAATTTTCAAGTTTTTCAGAATTTTTGAAATTGGATTTGAAAAAATTTATGAGAATTTTTGAAGCCCTGAACATTTTGATGGCAATGAATATTGACAATTTTAAAAACTGAAAATTTTGAAAGTTTTCAAGTCTTAGAAATTTTACGAATATGAAAATATTGAAAATTTGTAAAACGTCAAAAAATTGGACGACTAGAAATTTTGAAAATCCAGAATATTTTGATAAATTCGAAAATTTAGAATAAAAAATTTAATCTTAAAATTTTGAAATCAAATTTTAAAATTCTGAAAATTTTGGCAATTTCGAAATTTTAAAAAATTCGAAAAAATATTTTCAAAATTTTGAAACCCAAAGAATATTAAAATTCTGAAAATTTCGAAAATTCAGAAAATATTCATTATTTTGTTTTCAGAATTTTCAAGATTTTCGAAGTTTTCGAAATATTCGAAATCTCCAGCATTTCTAAATTTGATAATCTTGTAAATCATGGAACATTTTCATGTTCTCGAAGAATTTAAAGGCAGTGAATATTTTGAGTCTTGAAAAAATCATGGAAGTTTTAAGAACAGGAAAATTTTTGGAACTTAAGGATTTAAAAATTTGAAATATATATAATAATTTTGGAAATTCAGAAATTTTTGAAAAATATTAAAAATTTTGAAAACTAAAAAATTTGAGAATTTCAAAAACCTTGAAAACCAAGAAATTGAAAATAATGAATATTTTAAAGATTCTAAAATCTTGAAAATCTAATAATTTCAATATTTCTACCATTTTGAAAACTACAAATTTTAAAAAATGAAAATTTTCAAATCTTAGAAGTTTTACAAATATGAAAATATTGAAAATTTGTAAAAAGTCAAAAAACTGGACGATTAGAAATTTTGAAAATCAAGAATATTTTGATAAATTCGAAAATTTAGAAAACCAATATATCTTAAAATTTTGAAATCAAATTTTAAAATTCTGAAAATTTTGGTAATTTCGAAATTTTTAAAAAATTCGAAAAAATATTTTCAAAATTTTGATACCCAAAGAATATTAAAATTCTGAAAATTTCGAAAATTCAGAAAATATTCATTTTTTTTTGTTTTCAGAATTTTCAAGATTTTCGAAGTTTTCGAAATATTCGAAATCTCCAGCATTTCTAAATTTGATAATCTTGTAAATCATGGAACATTTTCATGTCCTCGGAGAATTTAACCCCTTCACATCCAGGTGCAATTTAAAAAGGCACTTTCACATACCAGACGAAAAAAAAATCGAAAATGAAATATTAAGATTACATAATGACATACATCTTTAACCACAGTTAAAATATTTCATGAAAGTCAAAAACAACATGGCGACAGTGATTCATATTTTATGACTATACCAGTATATCCACCATTTGGATAATAGTGGCATACCATAATATCCATATTTGGATATCCATGTAAAAATAAATCAAAGTCACATTTTTTGAACATAAGTGCTTTATTCATATTTTTTACATAAAATAAACTAGTAGAACGTAACATTGGTAAACCGCTTAAAATATAAAGTTCATTTGTGGTATTCTTAAAAATGTTCCGGACAGCAACGCCCTGGCTTATTTGGACACTCAATGCAAATATTTCGTGTTAGTTTCCTTTGGTTGTGTTTTCGGCAAATAACGCAGATCTTTCGCAATGCCCGTTTTTTTCATCTTCCTTTGGTAAATTAACCATAACGTGTTCTTTTTGTGTTTTTTTTGAAGTTGAAGGTTGATTATAACATGAAGAAGCATCCGTCATGCAGCGATATCCTTCACTGTATTTGTGCAAAATACCATTACAGCACAGTTTTATATAGTCATACATCGAAATGTTGAAATCATCTTTAGCGTTACAGAATAAAACCTTAGAATTTAGAAGCATCTGGAGCATTAATTGAAAGCCCACTTTTGTAAACCAAGTATAGCTTTTTCGTAAAGAATTGTAAGGTTCCAGATCTTGATCGACAGCGTCAACAGAGCCCATATTTTGATTATAAAATTCAATGTGGGCAGGTTTTTTAAAATGCACTTGTTTACCGCCTACCATATAGCGAGATTTTTCAAAAAACCCTGCACTATGCTTACTTGTCAACAAGTAAACATCCTTCTTGTCCTTATATCGTACAAGCAGTTGCATGTCTTTCCGTACGAAGCAGGATTGGTACCTTTCTAGTGGAATTCTAGTTAACTGAGCGGGAACTCCACGATTGCTTCTTATAGTTCCAGTCAAATAGGTTCCTTGGGTAAGTAAAAATTGCGAAAGCCGCACGGATGTATACCAATTGTCTAGAATAACTTCTCGGTCACTGTTCAGTATATTTTGAGCTAAATGCACGACAATTCTTTCAGAAACAGTGAGGTTTCCGGTGCCTGGAATATGGGATACATCGAAATTGTCTTTCCCTACGTACAAACAAAAGTTCCAAGTATATCCGCGCAAATATGGAGCGCTTGGGCACATTGCAAAAAGTTTTATGCCAAATCGATTTCTTTTTGTTTTAATATATTGACGAAAGTGCAATCTGCCTTTATAAAGCATCAAATGTTCATCTATTGCAAACACTGGTCCAGGGTCAACCAACGTCTTGCAGTTGTCTTTGAGCATGGACATATAAATTCCAAGTCGGCTTAGAGGGGCATTGTTTCTTGCTGCTTCGGGTGGCGAAAACCGAATAAACTTGAGTATAGAAAGATACCTGTTTCGACTCATAATAGATTTATTGAAAACTTTTGGACCAGCGCACAAAATGTTATTACTCCAGTAATCTGTTATGCGAGAGCACTTTACTAATCCAGTAAGAATATGAAGCGCGATGAAAACGTACATCTCTTCTTTTTCTAGTTTCTTCCACTGAACGCCATAAACTGTCCTTGTATTTGTATTTTGTTCAAAGTACATTTCAGCTCTTCTGTTCGTCCACTCACTTAATTTCGCTACGATATTTGGGCTTAAAAACATTCGAAACAATTGACTGGATCTCTGCACTCTTCCATATCAATGGTGGGGTGAAAAGTATATTCAGAAGAAAAATTTTGCGTAGCTCTAGGAACCTGATCGGAAAAAGGATCACTTAAAACTTGCCATTCGTCCATGGTCACGTTTTCGACAAGTTCATCGTCATCGGTCTCCGAATATGTTTCGTCAGAGTCACTCATATCCGAATTATCACTTAACTCATACTCCGAATCGTCATCACTATCTGTATAATAGCCCTGGACATTCATTTTTGATAAATAAAACTTTTACATCCAAACAACACTGAGAAACACGATAAAACAGACTTTCCCGCCAAAACGTAATTTAGAGGCATACACGACCGCGTACCAGCGTGACTACTTATGTACTAACAGTAAAAATATTTCTGTGGAAATATTTTGGATATTGAAGAAATTTGGGTGGGGATGGCTTGTATGCCATACCAGTAGGTCTAATTGATAGCAGCTCGCCATACCAGTTCCCTGCTCCATAACATAAGCCATTAACAATGATATCCATATGTGCATATTATGGTATCCAGAGAGCATATTCAAAATATCCATATGTGGAGTACTGGATGTGAAGGGGTTAAAGGCAGTGATTATTTTGAGTCTTAATTTTTAAAACTTAAGGATTTAAAAATGTGAAATATTTATAATAATTTTGGAAATTCAGAAATTTTTGAAAAATCTAAAAATATTAAAAATTTTGAAAACTAAAAAATTTGAGAATTTAAAAAACCTTAAACTAAGAAATTTAAAATAATGAATATTTTGAAAGATTCCAAAATCTTGAAAATCTAATAATTTCAATATTTCTACCACTTTGAAAACTACAAATTTTAAAATTCTGAAAATTTTGGATATATCAAAAATTTTGAAAAATATGGAAATCTTGAGTAGAAATTAAATATTTTTAAAATTTTGAAAACCAAAGAATTTTAAAATTCGTAAAATTTTTGGTTTTTTTGTTTTAAAAATTTTCGAACTTTTCAAAAATTTTAAAATCTACAGAATTTCCAGGGTTTCTAATTATCGAAATTTTCATGATCCCGAAGATTTTGGCAGTGAATATCTTGAAAGCCCTGAAAATCGTGGAAGTTTCAAAGATACGAAAATTATGAAAACTAAAGGATTTAAAAAGTAATAATTTTGAAAATTCAGAAAATTTTGAGAAATCTAAAAATCTTTTGAAAACTAAAAGAAATGAAAATTTCAAAAGATTCGATAGCTTGAAAATTTTCAAAAACTAAAAAATTGCAGTATTCTTAAAATTCTGAAAACTAACAAATTTTAAAATTATGAAAAATTCGAAAACCCTGAAAATTTTGAAAACAGAAGAAATTGAATATTTTAAAATTTTGAAAACCAAATAATTTTAAAATTCAAATTTAGAAAAAAATATTTTTCAGTTTCTAAATTTGGTATTCTTGAAAATTTTCATAACCCCGAAGATTTTGAATTCAGTGAATATTTAGAAAATATTGAAAACCAAGGAAATTATTAAAACCAAAAAAACTGAAAATTTCATGAACTCGAACATGAAAATTAAGAAATTGAAAATTTTGAAAACCTTGAAAATCTCTGTCTGCCAGAATTGCAACGTTAATGGTCCACGTACAGGCGATGCCTCCTATGGACCCTACTTTCCTATCTATTTCCTCATTTTTCATATCGTATTCAAGGAGCAAATAAACATTATCAAGACTCTTATCTGGATTTTAAAAAATCCAAATACAATTCCAGAGAGCGCCCTGAAGCGATCAAATCATTGGACACAATGCTGAACCACTCCTCACATTTCCTCAACAACGCCAAGAATCTCACCAAAAAGTTCAATCCCCAAAAAGATGTTTTCACCGAAGTGGAAATCGAGACTCTGCATAGCCTCATCGTCGATACCAAACAATGGAAGGTAATCATTTACGTAGCAGTTTATGTTCCGAGATTTGTGAATAATTTTCCACGAGAGAGTTAAAAACGCTTCACCGCGAGAACTTTTATTTCTTATCCTAACTGAAGCTGATAAAAATACCAAGTTTATATTATATCTTTATTTGGACAATATTAGTCAGTCTCGTCATCATCAAGGTCGAGATCACGTTTATAGTATTTTTTCTGTTATTTTTGGATGTACAGTATGTGAAAATCAAAAGTTCGCCAATTTTAGCTTAACAGACAAGGATGAAAATCGCATCAAAATCAACTAATCTCAAAATACTTTTCGATGTCTTATAGAGCGTTAATTTAGTAATAATTGTTAACCCTTTTCCAGATAGCAAATCGTGTAGAACTCGAAAATGATCTATTTTAGAAAAAAGTTACTAGAGGCCTTTTTTGTTCAGAATGATCCAGAAAGCCTGAAAAAACATTTGTCATTTATTTAAAAAAAAACTGGCTTAGCGTACGGTATTTTGAATGCTCAAAAACTCGGTTAAAACTTATAATCGCAAAATATCTAAATTGAAGTTAGAGACGTTTTTGAGACAGTCCGTTTACTAACTGTACCGAACTTAGGACAAAGCTGCGAATGAACAGGAGAAATTGGGAAAAAGCGAACCGATCAAGCTGACGGTGAAGATGGTGATGGACAAGATTGCGGCGTTGGACAGGGAAATGAAGTACCTGGTGAACAAGTTGAAGTTCTGGAAGCCCAGGAAGGTGGAGAAACCGGTGACGGAGAAGCCTGAGAACGGTTCGGATAGCAGCAAGAAGAATGAGAGCGAGACGACAGACTCCAAGGATGAGGTTGTGATAGACGTTGGAGGTAAGGGTGATTCAACTTTGATTTTTTAACTATTTGCCCCAGTAAAAGTCTCAAGATTGAAATTTGAAGATGGAATCAAGTCCTGTTGGAGGATGAGTATTCAACTATGATAGTACTAGTTTATTTCTTGGGTCTCCACTTGAAGCAGCTGTTTGTGCTATTTATACTTGATTTTTGTCGAGTATAATTTATTTTTTCCGATCAACTGACCGGTTGCGTTGTTTTACAAGGTGATGAAAAAGAAGCTGAAGTGACAGAAGATCCGAACGAGGCCGACGCTAAAGAAGACGAACATCTGGAGCTGTAGTGATATTCAGTGACTTTAGGGTAAACAATTGTAATGTATTTTCTACTTGAGGTAGAATCGTTTAGTGAATCAAGCTGTGAAATGTTGTTTTAAAGATAATGCTTGGACTGGAATTTCTCCAAGAGCTGCCGACTTTTCTTCTTTTTTTTTTTGTGGGCGAAAAAGTTTTAGGGGGCGTTATGCTGCATCACCACATTTACGTCACTTGAGGATCAGTACCGATTGATTGGATTTTAAAAGTGTCCCTCAAATGGGGACTCAACATTTGGTTTCTTTAAAAGGCTGCAACCACGGGTGTTTAAAATTGCCGGTTTTCAAAATTCCTGAGATGATAAAAATTTTCAAAACATTAATAATTTTGAAGGTTTTGAACATCTTCAAACTAACGGGTAATTTAGATATATTGTAAATTTAAAAATTTTGAAAAATCATAAGTTAGCAAAAAGCGAAAATCTTAAAAATTCAAAAGTCTAAAAAATGATTGGAATCAGATGATTTAGAAAATTCATGAAATTTAAAACTCTTTTAGAACTTTGAAAAAAATACGGGGCAGCTTTTGGGTAATAGTATAAATTTTCTTTGCATGAGACTGAATAGATCAATTCAAACCTGTAGATTGTAGATGTTCTTTTTTGGTGTTACTGCATTATTAGGGAGTTTTGGTGTAGTTACAAATACTGACGCATGCGTAAACGTTAACCTTATTTGGCACAAGTGCCGATTGAGGGTCGATCAATCCCCGGATTTCAAAAGAAAAATTGCACATTACAGTCACTTAGATTTTCAAAACTTTCAGGATTATCAAAATTTTCATATTTACAATTTTCAAAATTTTACATCTTCAATCGACAAAATATTTTTGATTTTCAAATTTTGTCAGGATTTTCAATTTCTTTAAAATGTTCAAAACTCTCGAAATTTGTGAATTTTTCCATTTTTTTCAGAATCTTTGGTTTTCAAAATTTTCAGGTTTCCAGAAAATATTTGGAAATCTTCAGACACGAAAATTTTGTAAACCATGAGAATTTTGAAAATCGACAGTATCAAAAAAATTGAAAATTTTCAAAGTTCTTAAAACTTAAAAAAACAAAATCCTGACAATATTTAATATCTTGAAAATTTTGAAGAAAGAATTTGAGGATATAAAATTTTGATAGTCCTGAAAGTTTTGAGATTTTGAAAATTCTGGAGATCTTTAAAATCGAAAACAACGGGACTTTCGACAACTTTTAAAAACTGGAAAATTTTGAAAACATTGGAATATTTTGAAAACCAGGAAAATTTTCGAAACCGACAATTTCGAAAAATTTTATAATTCTGGAAGTTTCGAAAATTGAAAAAAAAATTTTTATTTTATATACATATTTAAAAATCTTTAAAATGTGAACAAACATTTTAAGGATATAACATTTTTAAAATGATGAAAATTTTGAAAATTCCGGGAATCTTGGAAACTGAAAACCACATCAATTCTGAGAACTTCTAAAATCCCGGAAATGTTTAAAACATTGAATATTTTGGAAACCGACAATTTCGAATTTTTTTTAAATTTTTCAGTTTTGAAACTTAAAAAAAAAGAAAATCCTGACAATGTTTAAAAATCTTGAGCATTTTAAGAAACGTTTTGATTATATATAATTTTGAAAATTATGAAAATTTTGATAATCCTGAAAGTTTAGAGATATTGAAATTCCAGAAAATTTTGGAAATTCCGGGAATCTTGGGAACTGAAAACGGAAATTTTGAAAACTTCTAAAAAATCGTAAATTTTGAAAACCCCGAAAATTTTGGAAACCGACAATTTCGAAAAAATTTAAAAACTTTTGAAGTTTGGAAAATTTAAAATGGAAATCTTGACAATATTCAAAAATCTTGAATATTTTTGAAAATGATCTTGAGGATAATTATGAAAATTTAAATTACAATTTACAATTCGTTTTAATCCGGGGATTGAACAATCCTCAATCAACAATAATTATGGCCCTTAATTTTGAGGATATAAAATTTTTAAAATGATGAAAATTCTGAAAAATTCTAAAATCTCGGAAATGTTTAAAACATTGAATATTTTAGAAACCTAAATTTCGAAAAAAAATTAGATTTTGAAAATTAAAAAACAGTAAATCCTGACTATATTTAAAAATCTTGAGAATTTTAAGAAACGTTTTGGGGATATAAAATTTTGAAAATCCTGAAAGTTTTGAGATATTGAAATTCCAGAAAATTTTTGAAATTCCGCGAATCTTGGGAACTGAAAACAACGGAAATTTTGAAAACTTCTAAAAAATCGGAAATTTTGAACACCCCGACAATTTTGGAAACCGACAATTTCGAAAAAATTTAAAAACTTTTGAAGTTTGGAAAATTTAAAATTACTGGAAATCTTGACGATATTTAAAAATCTTGAATATTTTTGAAAATGATCTTGAGGATAATTATGAAAATTTCAATTACAATTTACAATTCGTTTTAATCCGGGGATTACAATACAATAATTATGGCCGTTAATTTCTTATTAACGTTTACGTATGCGGTATTTGTGATGGCCAAAACTGTCTGTTAACCTAAAATGAGCTTCAGCTGCATTATCTTTAAAAAAATGTATTTGATAAAGTGTAATTTATTTGTTTTTTGTTTGATATACTTTGTTGATTCCAGTTTGCAGCCAAATACTTTATTGTTTGTAGCAGTGAAACTGCACTTTTGAAAACAATTATGCCAAATTTGAACTTTGTGCAATTGATAAGTACTCGAGGTCGTTAGGATTTCGAAAATCACCACTTTTTGGTTTACATAGTGTTACTTATAGGTTTGTACATTTGCCGATGTAAAATTTATTTATTTATACGAAATTATTTGGAATACGATTACGAGTTTTATTCCCCGTTTGACCGACTGCACCGATTTGCAAAACCTAAAAAGTTTTCTATCATCAAGATAGTTGTCACTTTGTGTCAAAATTTCTTCAGATTCCAAGCAGCTATAGAAGGAAAACTCAACTCCTTTAAAAAATTTCTGACACGAGAAAATTTACTCAGAAGTAAGATGAGTATGCATAACTTACCTAGCTTGCCGTGAAGATATTCAGTTTCTCCAGAAAGATCGGAAGAAGACACAATATCCAACGTATATGTTTTTATACGGGGTGTTCCATACTTAATGGACATAGTGAAATGGTAGGTAGTATATAGTATTTGAAAATAAAAAAAGTCTAGATTCGTTATTTACGGATATACAAGGTATATATGGTACCGGTATCTGAACGCGCCAAATCTTTAACCTCGCATATCTCAGGCACTATTGAACCGATTTTGTTTAAATTTTGCACGACAAAAGTGTTGCCAAGGAATAATAGTCTAATCATATTGGCAAATTTCCCCGGTTTTATTGATGCAAGTTGTTCAAGGGGGTGTTTAAAACATGGACGCATACAATGGGTACACCAATTTTTGTGGGAAAACTTTTTATTAGACAACAAAGAATAAGAAAACGTGTGTTTTGGGATTCAATCATGAGTGTTGACAGAACATTTTGAATACAATGAAAAACACGAAATTTTTGAAAACCGACAAGGTTTCAGTTTGAAAATTTTTGGTAATGTTGAAACCTCAAAACAACGGAAATTTTGAAAACTTTCAAAGTCTCGAAAATTTTGAAAACATTGAATATTATGAAAACCATGAAAATTTTGAAAACCGACAAGGTTGCCAGATTGAAAACTTTTGGAAATCTTGAAAAGTGAGAACAACGAAATTTTTTAAAACTTTCTAATTCTCGAAAAATTTGAAAACATTGAATATTTTGAAAACCATGAAAATTTTCTGGAAATCCTGAAAAATGAAAACAACGGAAATTCTGAAAACTTTTAAAATCTCGAAAATTTTAACATAAACATTTTGTAAACCGACAAGGTTTCCAGTTTGAAAATTTTTGGAAATCTTGAAAACTGAAAACAACGGAAATTTAAAAAACTTTCAAAGTCTCGAAAAGTTTGCAAACACTGAATATTTTGGATACAATGAAAAACACGAAAATTTTGAAAACCGACAAGGTTTCCAGTTTGAAATTTTTTGATAATCTCTAAAACTGAAAACAACGGCAGTTCTGAAAAGTTTTAAAATCTCGAAACTTGAGAAAACATTGAATATTTTAAAATCTTTGAAAACCACGAAAATTTTGAAAACCGACAAGGTTTCCAGTTTGAAAATTTTTGGTAATGTTGAAACCTCAAAACAACGGAAATTTTGAAAACTTACAGTCTCGAAAATTTTGAAAACATTGAATATTATGAAAACCATGAAAATTTTGAAAACCGACAAAGAATAAGAAAACTTGTGTTTTGGGATTCAATCAAGAGTGTTGACAGAAACGGCTAAACTTTTAATATCAGATTTTTAGGTATTTATGAGCAAAAATGGTATGGCCGAAAAACGAGGCAAAATGCAGGTTTCGGCACTTGCTGGTAATGCGACGATGGTTTCTCGCAAATATTTGAAATTCCTGACACTTTGAATCCCAAAAAACACATTTTCTCATTATTTGTTATCAAATTAAACAAAAATTGGTGAACCCATTTTATGAGTCCATGTTTTGAAAACCCCCTTGAACAACTTGCAGCAATAGCACCAGACTTTAGAATTATTTCACAAACCAGGGATATTTTCGTCTAATATGATTAGACTATAACGTAAGAAAAGATGGACGGTTAAAAAATCCAGGGCCGGACGCGCTTTTTTCACCATTTTGTCTCTTTTATCAAAATCACCACCTCTTAAGCTGACTATTGAAATGTTTCACCAAGTACAAAAAAACCAATGAATGGGCGCTAGTTAAGAAGTGAAATAGATTAATTTCAAATATTAAATTTTTTACCAATAATATTTTATTCTTACCATCACCTTGCCACGTGTGGCATCCAAAATTAAAATTCACATCAATCAAAGCTCCACGTAGATCCAGGTTTATGAGTAAAACGAGATTTATATCCTCCAATATACTTTATTTCAATCTATTTTAAGTAGCTTTACCGATTTTCAATCGTGTACACAAAATACCTATCTTCAAACGTCAGAAACTGCAGGTTAAATCCTCAGTTTCCCAGAACAATGCATTTTATGCACCGCTGCGTAAAAAATACACAGTCGGTGCTTGGCTCAACCATCGATCGAAGTATTCTGTCTAAAGATAGCCGACAACCTGATACTCCTTCATCCAAGATTATTTTTTGGATGCACGAATACAGTATTGGGTTGGCTAACTTGGGAATATATTGATTGATGGTTCAACCCAAATCTACTGGGTAGATCGAAAACTCAACATCAAAATTCATCTAGAAATGTTAGTAGACAAGAAATAAGAGCTGTCAACAAGTTTCTGATAAAAAATACAACATATAAGCTTGGTATAGTTTATTCACTGAAACAAAGCAGTTACGTCATATTAGAAATATATAAAATAGATCCTAAATTGGTACGTTTAGTTTGAATTTCGCGGGTACATTTATGTTGGTAACAGTTTTCTCATTGTCGCAAAGTTTGTCAGGTAATTACGCCATCGAATGTTGTTTATTTTCGTTCTTTTTGCATTGTTATTTTATAAAAACGAAACCTTGAGGTGACCTTTTAAGCATTTTGCTAAAATGCCGAAACCGACATAAACGAGATTTTGTAAAACTTCCTAGGACCTAGTAGTTTTAATTGATGTGGCAACCATGTGCGTCACTGTCATTATTTGACGTACTGCTTTGATTCAGCGAATAAACTATAAATATGTTACGGAAATCTTTAGACCAGGAGCGAATGATTCTTGGCCAGCGTTTGGCGGCGTTTTCTCTCTCAGTAAAACCATTAATTAACGAATTTTTAACATCATCATTGCAAAATTATAAACTCCTTCTAGATGCTTGTTTTTAAGGGGTTTCATGATTATTTGAGTGAAATATATACATTTGGGTATCTCCGGTCATTATTTAACAATTTTGAACGACTGTGGTTAAATATGAGGTATATAATGTGAATAGTAGTGGCCCTAAAACGGAACCTTGCGGTACGCCAGATTTTATGAGCTCGAGTGATGCAATTTTATCGCCTAATGAAACTTTTTGACGTCTAACAATTAAATACTGTCGAAAAAAATTCACAGTCTTCTCGGAAAGTCATTTTTGATAATAAGAGATCGTGGTTAATCGTTTAGAAAGCTTTTGAAAAATGTAGCATAACCTTTACCAAAAGCGGTGGTGATATCGTTTATCTCTCTCTAAAGCCAGATCGTTGATTGCTAAATAAGTATAAGTATTGCGAGAAATAGCGCCATCTGTTGGGCGAGTCTCCTACTCGAAAGAGCTGTGACAGTGGACCGCCTTCTAGATCGACGCGAAGTGATCTCCGAAATTCTAGATGTCGCTTTGAGGTCTTTCTCGAAATAGCAATTGGGACTGTATATAACTCGGCGGCCGCGAGATGGAGGCAGAGTACGGAATACGGTAGAGTAGCAGAGCGGAGTGAGGTATAGTGCAGTCAATGGTGGCATAAGAATTAGTCAGACATAAATAGTGGTGTATATAAATGTTCCGTCAAGTTAAATAAATCAGTGCATTTCTTTTTGTGGAATCCAGTGTTTTAATCCACACCTAAAAGAACCCAGAAAAACGCTACAGTATTAAAACTTGGGACAGTACCTTTTAAAGTAATTTGGATAAAACATGGAGTAAACTGATTGGTCGTAGATCACTGTACATTTTGGGACTGCAATGATAAGAGATTTTTTCCATATGAACATACAGTTGGTTACAGCGCCATCTGTGAGGAGCTAACCTCAACGTTAGTGTGGAGAGAAGGAACATGTTTCAAACTTTCATAGAATTTTTTTACACGAGGTTATCTCGTAATTTCTTGGCTCGCCACCTGGTCAAAAAAATTCCCGCTACGTACCAAGCTTGAATACGCGAGTCAGTGTTAATATATTAAATTTAATTAATACTATACACCGTTCACAACCTAAATGGCAAATATTACTAAATAAAGCTTAACTTTTAAAAATAAACATCTATCACAATGACTACTAGGTCGAAACTATATACAAAAAATATATATTCGAAAAGTTCATTGCATTGGCGATCGCTAGTAATACTCGTATAGCTACCATTTGGCGTTATAGAACTTCGTTTGACCAAATCTTTTTTCGTACGACTATGACTTCTTATTATTAATGAATTTATTGTATTCTAAAGTCTAGGGTGCAGGGGTGGCGTACTATGTCTCTGATACTATGATTGTTCGGTCATTACTTTAAAAATATTTAATTTTTTTTAAGTTGTACTGACAGACTCAGGGAGCGAATACGAAACGTGAATACTTCACTGTGTCAAAAATATTGGATGATCATCGTGACAAATGTTACCTAGATCGTATATAGTTCAGGATATACAAGGGTGGGCCGATAAGTACTCAGCCTTACCGCGACTATCGCAAAAGAAATTTACTATCGTGTAGTACGTTTTCGTAGATGGCTACTGACACAATTTTAGCTGACGGTAGTTTTGACCGCGTGTCCGCAGATTTCAGAAAAATGGAAAAATGCAAAATCGGTCGGTGTTTCGATTCTGGTTTTTGGAAGGGAATTCACGCAGCGATATCTTGGATGCTATGTACGGTGAATCTTCTCGTTCGATGGCGATCATCAACAATTGGTTTAACGAGTTTCAACATTTTATATCTTCGAAATTTTCACGAGTTTTATGATTCTCAAATTTTGTCAGAATATTAAATTTCATTTTTAAAAACTCAAAAATTTCTCATCCAAAATGTGGGTTCCAAAACGTCATGGTTTTCAAGATTTTAAAAATATTCATTGTTTTCAAAATGTTTCAGGATTTGAATCAATAATAACGCACCCTTGAGTGGAGATTTAACATTTGAAATTCACAGTAGGCTTTAACAGATCTCATCGCAGGTTTCCGGCTTTTTTAAGATATTCAATTTGAACATTTTTGAAAATCTTGAAAACTGAAAACAACGGGTATTCTAAAACTTTTAAAATCTCGAAACTTTTGAAAATATTGGATATTTTAAAACCTTTGCAAACCACGAAAATTTTGAAGACCGACAAGGTTTCCAGTTTGAAAATTTTTGGAAATCTTGATAATTAAAAACAACGGTAATTTAACAAATTTTCAGTCTCGAAAATTTTGAAAATATTGGATATTTTGAATACAATGAAAAACATGAAATTTTTGAAAACCGACAAGGTTTCCAGTTTGAAATTTTTTGATAATCTCTAAAACTGAAAACAACGGCAGTTCTGAAAACTTTTAAAATCTCGAAACTAGAAAAACATTGAGTATTTTAAAATCTTTGAAAACCGCAAAAAATTTGAAAACCGACAAAGTTTCCAGTTTGAAAATTTTTGGTAATCTTGAAAACTGATAACGGAAATTTTGAAAACTTTCAAACTCTCGAAAATTTTGAAAACATTGATTGAATATTATGACAACCATGAGAATTTCGAAAACCGATAAGGTTGCTATTTTGAAAACTTTTGTAAATCTTGAAAAGTGAGAACGGAAATTTTTACAACTTTCAGTCTCGAAAAATTTGAAAACATTGAATATTTTGAAAACCATGAAAATTTCCTGGAAATCCTGAAAAATGAAAACAACGGAAATTCTGAAAACTTTTAAAATCTCGAAAATTTTATCACAAACATTTTGTAAACCGACAAGGTTTCTAGTTTGAAAATTTTTGGAAATCTTGAAAACTGAAAACAACGGATATTTAAAAAACTTTCAAAGTCTCGAAAAGTTTGCAAACACTGAATATTTTGGATACAATGAAAAACACGAACATTTTGAAAACCGGCAAGGTTTCCAGTTTGAAATTTTTTGATAATCTCTAAAACTGAAAACAACGGCAGTTCTGAAAACTTTTAAAATCTCGAAACTTGAGAAAACATTGATTATTTTAAAATCATTGAAAACCACGAAAATTTTGAAAACCGACAAGGTTTCAGTTTGAAAATTTTTGGAAATCCTGAAAGGTGAAAACAACAAACTCTGAAAACTTTTAAAATCGCGAAAATTTTTAAAACATTGAATATTTTAAAATCTTTGAAAACTACGAAATTTTTTAAAACCGATAAGGTTTCCAGTTTTAGAATTTTTGGAAATCTTGAAAAGTGAAAACAATGGAAGTTCTGAAAACTTAAAAATATCGAAAATTTTTAACAATTTGAAAATCACGTGACAAGTACAGACATCCAGCCCGTGGAAAGCAAAAATTTTGAAAAAAAAATTACTTGCGCTATCTGTTAGAATTGCACGAGAACCGTTTGTTTCTAAATTTTTTTCGGTTAAAAAAACCTGAAAAGTAGACTAAACGTTTTTTAACGTCTAGACACGATCATCATTTTTTTTCTTAATCCCTTATTTTTTTTCGAGCAGTGTATATTAAAGTATTAGTGCTTTTTACGTTGTTGCACATTGCTAAAATGTATAATGCCCCTGATAGAATGAAGGACTCATATTTCGCATATCCTCCCAACTACTACTGGAAATTATATATATCACCTTACGATTGACTACACAGTTGCAGCTAGGTAAATGCAAGGAAACATCTAGTTTAAAACGAACACGTTTGTTCCCTTTCATAAAAAATGGCAGTACAGTAGAACCTCGGTTATCCGAACCTCTATTATCCGGACCCTCTATGATCCGAACTCGTTTACACAGTTGTTTCTCGCTTTGAACGGACGCCGCCGACGTTGCATTATAAAAATGTTACACGTGCTTTCCCCTCCTAAGCAGCGTAGACGCGTTGGCGGCGGCGAAGGAGTGTAGAGGTTAGATCCATCGTACCGACACAAATCGACAGTCGTCTTACGATTTAACTTCGATCAGTCTTTCAGTGTAGTCGGCAGGCAACTTCGACGGGACGGAACACGAACAATCTCCCTTGTTAAGTCTACTCGTGGCGTGTATGTAATATAAGCCGGGTGCGGTGACATTTTTCGTTTGTTCTTAAGTATGTCTCTTTCAAAGCGTAAACGCGTGGTGCTGTCAATTAAGGACAAAGTGGATATTTTGGAGCGTATGAAAAAAGGCGAATCGGCCCAATCTCTGTCGGTGGTTTATGGTGTGGGAAAGTCAACGATATCGGACATTAAAAAACAGTCCAGCGCGATTTTGACGTCCGCGAGCAAACTTGACTGTGATGCAGGATGTTCGAAGCGCAAGACCATGAAAAGATCCGCCAACGAATGTTTGGATGAGGCTCTTTTCACATGGTTTTCCCAAAAACGTTCATCTGGGCAACCTATCAACGGCCCCTTGGTGTGTGAGAAAGCTTTAGACTTCAATAAAAAATTAGGGGGTGATCCTAAATTCTCTGCAAGTCAAGGATGGCTAGATAAATTTAAATCTCGACACGGCATTCGCCAGCTTGATATTCAAGGTGAAAAACTCAGTGCTGACTCTTCATCTGCCTCTGGATTTGTGACAAGATTTTCAGAAATTTTAAGAGAGGATGGTTATGATTTGGAGCTTGTTTATAATGCAGATGAAAGTGGTTTATGTTGGAAAAGCTTACCTTCTAAAACTCCGGCATCCAAGAGGGAAGTGTCAGCCCCTGGATATAAATCAAGCAAAGATCGGGTCACCGTAATGGTTTGTGCAAATGCTACTGGTAGCCATAGAATTCCCATGCTTTTTATAGGAAAATCCAAAAATCCAAGAGGCTTCAAAAACGCGAAGATACCTCTCGTTTACAAAAACCAATCCAGGGCATGGATGGACCGGAAAATATTTGTAGACTGGTATGACAACACCTTCATACCCGAAGTTAAAAAGTTTCTTGAGCAAGTGGGTAAGCAATCAAAGCCTGTTTTATTGGTTTTGGACAATGCGCCTTCGCATCCAGATGCTGAGAGTTTGACAAGAGACGGTTTCAAAGTCATCTATCTACCTCCTAATGTGACATCAATCCTTCAGCCAATGGATCAAAGTGTCATTGAGACTATGAAAAGGAATTACCGGAAGCAACTTTTACGCCGACTTTTGCTCAAAGACAATGACGATGAAAAAGAAAAGGCTGACAGTGTTATCGCGTTCTTCAAGTCAATTAATCTGAAGGATTGTTGCTACATGATTGTTGAGGCCTGGAATTTAGTTTCTCCAAGCACACTGAAAAAGGCATGGAATAAGTTGTTGAAAAAATACTACGATGATCTCAATGAGCCTACTGTTGATCTACTGCCCCTTAACGAAAGACATGAAGAAACTGAACTTGTGACTGAAATGCTTGACACACTTGAATCCCTCAAAGTAAGAGAAGACTGTGACGAAGAAGACGTGCTGAAGTGGTTAAATTCTGACGCCGATGACCAAGGATTCCCCATTGTGACTGATGAAGAAATTATTGAGAGTGTTCTGTCAGACCCAATTGTGGATGACGAGGAAGAAAGCGTCGATGACTGTGCTTTGGAACGTCCAACGGGACCCTCTCACGACGAAGCACTAAAAGCCGTTGATGTTGTCTTTCAGTGGCTTGAAAGACAAGAGGAAGTAGAAATCGTCCAGCTACTTCAACTTCAAAAGATAAAGGAGTTGGCTTTGACAAAAAAAAATAAACAAGATGAAGCAGACGAAGATTGGTGATTTTTTCAAACGTACCTAAGCAAGAGTTTGTAATGGTTCATAATGTGTTCGTACGTACATATATATATATATATATATATATATATATATATATATATATATGTACAACATACATAATAAATATATGTACATATTGAGTAGTTAATTGTTTTATTCCCTATGTACACATATGTAGTACATATATGTACATATTTTTAATCTAACCTCTTTTATCCGAACTTTTCGATTATCCGAACCACCTTTGGTCCCAATTAGTTCGGATAATCGAGGTTCTACTGTATATTGTTTTAAAGTACTCAGGTTTGTGCATTCGGTACATAGTTTATGACAGAATTGACGGAAAATCATTTAAAATCGCTGAATTTGCGAAAATGCAGAAATTAGATAAAAAAATAATAAACAGTGTCATATGGAACATAAAAAACGAATATTGAAGCATTTTTCTTAGCAAGAATCAGACTCCCAGATTTTGACTTGAAAAGATACTGGATACTGAAATTCTCCTTTTTACAGAGCTGTCAAAACAATATCTCATCAAGGTCAACCTCAACTCGATCTTGGAAGTTTAAAATGAGTCTTTATTTTCCGAATATCAGGTTAATTATTCGATAACCCTCCGTAACAGTATCATGATATCAAAATGAATGGAAGAATGCAGGCTTCATCCTAATATCATAGGAATCAAAGTAATAAATAAGGTATCACCAATAGAACAGTTCAGTTCACAGTTATTTTTCGATCATTATGATCTCGTCCCCTGATCGGATGTTGTATCTGTACAACTTCTTGGAGGGGAATTTCATTTCTTCGGGACCCTGCAAAGAGACATATTTTTCAAAAATTATCGAGTTTGTACGAAATGTGACTCACCTGAGTATCCCTCAGGTCCTGGTCGACGTAGAACAATCTCATTTTATTCGCTGAAAATCCGGCGAATCGTTCCAATTTCTGTTTCAGATCGCTGACAGTTCTGTAAACGTCAACCATACGAACTTCGCTGTTGTTGCCGCAAGTGAACGTGATCTTGACCCTTTTTTCTGGTCGAAGGTCGACGTTTACCAACGGGTCTAGCTTGCCGTGGATTTGGACTAGCTCGAAGAACCTGAAAAGAATACGAAGTCTATAAAAATATACAATAAATTGTCTGAGTTTACAGGGTGTTTCATAATCGAATGTCAAAATTTAGGGCGGAGTTTTTGTCGGCACATTTTAAGAAGAATAGCGTGGATGAGTACACTATGTTTTTATAATCGTAACAACACGTTTTAAAACGCCATTTAGCAGCAACCTCACCGACGTGCAAGTAATTGAAATTTAAATTTGTTCTAAATCGGTTGCTATTTTCATATTTGCGTTTTAGCTCCTGAAGATGACAGCACAGTTTGTCGAAAGCTTGAAATTTTATTAAGCTTTAAGTTTTGACAATTCCCAATAAACAAAAACATTGTATTATTTATATATATATAGATACAGGGTGTTAGGAAAATAATATTCGTAAGTTTAAGAGGTGATTCCTTGCATTAAAAAAGTTCATTATAACCTATGTCCGAAAATCAACAGTTTCGGAGCAAAAAAATGCTGAACTTATTTGTTTTCAGTCATGAATTAAATTAATTTTGCACCTTAATAATTCAAATTTGATTAGGAGGGAATTATTTTATTATTAAATGGCAAATCATAGCTATGTTTTTTTGATTTTTGAAAAGGTTTTTTACTTAAACGTTGATCGATTTTCGAAGAAATTTGAAAATTTCAATAGTTGATAGTTTTCAAATTTTCAAATTTCTTCCAAAATCAATCAACGTTTAAGTAAAAAACCTTTCAAAAATAAAAAAAAACATAGCTATGATTTGCCATTTAATAATAAAATAATTCCGTCCTAATCGAACCTCATCGGTCCAGTTTTTAATTTGTCGACTATGTATTCCCTTCACTAATGTTTAAACACAATTTCAGCAACAATCTCGCCGACT